TCACTCAGTTTTTTTACACTGTTTTTCGGAATCATCGATTGTTTTGAAGCACTAATGCACGTGGGTGTAAATCTGTTTCATGGATGATGCAATACTGTCTAATTATTACATCAGCAGCTGTATAGGCTGTCTGGGTATTGCATCAGCCGTTTTTTGGCTATATAGAAGTTTTACTGCAAGTCAGTTTAGAAACCTATCTGTTACAACGTGTGTGTGATGCTACCATAGCCAAGGGTTGCAAATTAACTGCACAATTATTGTTATTGTTATTGTTTCTTTGAGCAAAGAGGGACTTTCGACAAGGTAGATTGCTAGAAGAATTAAATCTAACCGGTCTACTATGAGTCGCTGGATGCAGAGATACAGAGAGAATGGCTGTATGGAGCAGCAGAAGGAAATGAATGGGAAGAAAGCTTCCACAGCAGCTGACGATCGTGTTCTGAAATACAAGAGCCTCTAGAATATTCGACTGTCGTCCACAGATGTAAAAAAAGGATGGCAGGAGACGTCAGAGATCATTATCCCCACGCACACCGTCCAGTCTCTCCTGTGTTCAACCAGTATACTGGCAAGACAGCCAAGAAAGAAACCGCTCCGCACCAACAAGATAAGGCTCAACTGGGCCAAAGAGCATGCTGATTAGACTGAAGCAATGGGAGCAAAGTGATTTTCTCAGACGAATCAAAGTTCAACATTTACTGGTCTGATGTGGAGAAGCGTTTCACCCAGCGTGTTTGAATGTAACTGTGAAGCGACCACTGAATCAGGTGATACGGGGATGCATCTCTGGGCAGGGTGTGGGATGACAGCATTTTGTGAAAGGTACTGTCAATGCTGGCAAGTATGTCGAGATATCCGAGTCCCGGTTAAAGCCAACACTTCGAGATTACTTCGGTGGAGCTGACCAGTGCACATTTCACAAGGCTAAAAAGGTTAGTAATATTCATGCACTCTATGCAGTAGATGTGAAATAAAGAGGAAAATTCACATCTTAAGTTTTACTTCGTTTTTTCGAAGGAAGAACATCAAGACATTACAATGGCCAGCCGACGGCCCAAATCTCAACCCCATCGAAAACTGCTGGAAGACAATGGGTAACAAAGTGCAACAGAAGAAACTGAGAAGCACCTTGGAACTGCAGGAAGCACTTATCCAAGTGTGGCATTATGAACTCACTTTTGTCTACATTAAGTCCCTAGTGCATCCTATGCCAAGCAGTTTTCAAGACCAGAGGGAGCACAACCAAATATTAAAATAAGAAACAGACTCTGCGACCAATTTTTGTGAATTACAATAGTGACGTTATATTTAAATCTAGGTTTTCTCATTCAGAGAGCATTTTAATATTTGTCAAGTATTTGTTGATAGTCTGCTGTAATGTGTTTGTCACTATTGGTTTGTTAATAAAAACTCGTATAAGTGTTTGGATGACTGAAATAACACTTAGCTTACACTACACAATGTCCATAATCGTTTTACACTGGTTCTGACCCTTCTACGTTGCACAATCTCGTAAAAAAATTAAAACATTAAAGAAACCAAGAAAATGTGAAAAAATTGGATGATGCAATGATTTTTCCCACCACTGTACAAAATAGTGTTTTCCCATTGTGATATCTGTGACGGTGCTATTCGACTATGTTTCTGAAGACAGTATTTTCATACTAAAATGTTCAAGGCCATGGTTTTCGACTATGACTATCCTGATCAAATTTTATTACGACGTATAAAAAGGGTTTTCATATAATCATGTCCAAGTTAATAAAACACCCAAGGTAATATATACCTGCTTTGCCTGGTGGAATGAACGTATGTTCATTGACTTTTAGGTTGTATTTAGCGCTTCAAATGCTCTACTACAGCGTACATGCCATTGTATCAACCTTTTTTTCTACAAAATACGTGTATATATAGATTCAATGTGCATTTTATGCACTGGATAAGCTTCAAAATTTAATTTTTATAGAATACGTCAGCTGGTCAAATGCGACATTTGAAAAATTTAACATAAATAAAGAAATGTTGAGTAAAATTACTTTTAAGATTATTATTTAATTGTGATGTACAACTACGACTTTGACATAGCACCCAGAATACTTTGTGTAGCACACATTTTACATTATAAAATCGTATGTACTTTTTAATATTGATTCTTATGCATGTAATATTTCTTTTAAAGTAGCCTTAGCTTTAGGCTTCGGAACAAAAGAAAAAAATCCTTCCTATACTAGGAATTCACTTTTAAAAAGTCTCGTACACAAATTTATTGGTTATCTGAGTACAGATTAAATATACAGAATATTAGATATTATATTATATATTTTTATAAAGGAAAAAATAACAGGGGTATGAAACGTGTTTCACATTAACGGTGTGTACATATATATGTGCAACAAACTTGTCATGAGCCATGACGTAACTAAAGCGTCTAGTCAAACCAATGTAACAAATGTTTGTTTTCCTTTAATGTAAACGTTTTCACCCATCTTGAGAAAACACAGAACACTTAAAGTGTTAACTGTCGCATTTATAGAGTGACGGGTACTAACAATTAGGATAACGAACAATTCAAAGCCACTATCGGAGCCCCATTCACTAAGATATGAAGAAACATAAAGTACAAAATAAGGTGTTTAAGGCAATAAACACCACATTATTTTCCTTCTGTAACAGCTATCTATAGCCAGAAAAATCTCAGATACTCTAAACATGTAAAACAGAGATATCAGATACCTCAAACATGTTACCCGATAAACCAAACCCCCCGAACATGTTAAAAGAGATATCAGATACCCCAAAAATGTTACCAGAGATATCAAGTACCCCAAACATGTTACCAGAGATACCAGGTACCCCAAACATTTAAAAAAAGAAATCAGGTTTCACTTGATACTTTTACTAAGGTTTGAATGAACAAAAAAGTGTTCACACTCCATGTAGTTTTTATCAGAATTTTACATTAATATCATACAATTACTACAGACAAGCATATTTATATATATATATACAGCGTTTTTGTACTGTTACAATTACAAAGTTAATTTACGTAGAGAGACATGATTGTAGAAAAAGTGACCAGTAGCAGAATCTGAATAATGGGCAAGCTTTTCAGTTCTTAATGAGCAGTATATCCTGCAGGATACGGTTGTAAGCTTATTTACGAACTATGGCCGTAAGGATTTAACAGAATATGGTTGCCGTCCATTTTGTAAGTTTTTACAGAAACACCCATCCACAAGTTTACTCTCGAACAAGAGTTGTACATCAGGCTTCTCCTTCTCTGTAGGTTCATTACCACTTTTTTTTTTCTAAATTTTCTTTCCTCTGAGAAATAATAGAACTATTATATTTCAGGATTACTGTATGAATATTTCTGTAAATAGGCACAAACAGTAAAGATAAAAAGCTCAAATAACCTCCTGAACGACAACAATTTTAGATAAAAGCACATTTGGCATCCTAATCAAAAACACATCGTATATATTCTTGTGATATTCTTGAAATTAATGTCATTTCAATTACAAATATATTAGAATTATGTTATTTCCCACTAAACAAATTCAGTTAAAACACATTTAAACATCGGTTACATCCCATAAAAACTGGTACAGTTAAAACGCATTATAATTTTGTCGTATCCTTCAAAACAATATCAGCTCAGTTAAAAAACACCATACTTATGCCATTTCCTATAATTCAGACATTTTTATCATATCCTACAAAACAAAACTTTATCAAGTTTTGAACAATATCAATTCCCCAAAACAATAAACATTTTTATTAAAACAATTATTCTTGCATGTTAAATCTCCCAAAAACAAGACGCTTGACTTAAAAACACTTGAAACAAATATCATATACTTTGAAACAAAACTAACTTAACTTAAATCCTTTCAAAAGAAAACAATTTTAGGTAAAATAAAATTGATTCTTGTGATATTTACGAAAATAAAACACCTGCAGTTAAAAATCATATACCACTTCGATTCCTGTCATATCCCTAAAATAATTAAATTGAACACGCGATCACCTTCTGCAAGATAATTAAAGCAAATTGACACTTTAGTTCGAAGTACGTTCGATTTTTGAACTTTTTGTTGTTGTTGAAGAAAGAAACACTTTCAGCAAAGAGCATTTCCGGCTTTTCCTTAATTGAATTAAACAAAAACTCTTCAGTTAAAAGACATTTGACTTAAGAAAAACTAACAAATTCCTCTCAACAAAAACTCTTCGTTTAAACCACATTAGACTTTTGACTTTCTCTCTAACCATAACTCCTTCAGTTACATTACATTAACTTATGTTTTATCTCATTCAACAAAACCATTTCTATTAAATCGCCTGTCTCTATTCCTCTAAGCAAAAACATTTACATTAAGTTGCATTCAACTTTTTCGTTATCCCTCTAAACGAAACTTCTTCGATCAAATCATATCCGACTTCTGTCTCATTCTTCAAAACTTAATTGTTAGGTTGAACCACATTCGTCTTCTGCCTTATCTCTCTAAACAAAACTATTTCGGTTACATCCATTCGACTTTTGTTTTATTTTATTGAATAAAACCTCTTGTGTTAAATCATATACTCGACTTCTGCTTTATCGTATTCAATAAAACCTCTTCAGTTAAATCATATTCGACTTCTGTCTCATTCTTCAAAACTTAATTGTTATTGTAAATCAAATTCGACTTCTATCTTATTCCTCTAAATAAAACCATTTCGGTTACAGCCATTCAACTCTTATTGTATGTTATTGAACGAAACCTCTTTAGTAAGATCAAATACTCGACTTTTTCTTTAACCTATTGAACAAAACCCATGATAAAATCATATGTTCGACTTCTGTCTTATCCATCTAAATAAAACATGTTCTATTTCTGCTTCATCCCTGGAAGTAAATTCCCTTCAGCTAAAACAAGTTCAACTTCCGCTTTATTAACTGAAGGAATTTTGCTTAGAAGAATAAGGCAGAAGTCGAATGGGTTTTTGCTTATAGGTAAAATATGTTCGACTTCTGTCTCATCCTTCTAAGTAAAATTCCTTCAGTTAAAATACATCCGACTTCTGCTTTATCCTTCCAAACAAAACTTCTTCGGTTAAAAACGCAGTCGACTCTTGTCTGTTTGTTAACATTTGGTGTTCTCCCAGTTAATCGTACCAACTCCCAACAATCTTTGATGTAAACGTTCTTCCAAGCTTCTTGTTACCAAGACATAATTCTTCTCCATCTTTCTTCTGTCTTCCAAGTTGGTTCTATTTTTACCATACAATTGGACAATTAGAAACATCATTAAAACACTAATATATTCATAGTTCTAGATTACCATTTAAGGACGCTTTTGTTTTCAATTCTAAAAAAGTATTCAATATGTCAATATGTTTATACGTTCATCAGTACGTTTTACATTGTATTATTTTATTATTGGTTTTCACGTTTACCTTATCCATAGTAATGGTGTAACACATATATCTAAATCCTTAATTTCCACATCAGTCTTAACCGTGAATTCTCTTCTTTAGCCATAGTTATATATTTAAGGTATTGCTCCTGAACTTGTGCCTGACAATATTACTCTCCTTAACTTTACTGCAACATTTGCTTATTACTGTTCCATAGTGCTGACTTTACCAAGTGAGAGACCCCAAGAAGCAGTTTAATTAGATCTCACATTCCACTAATAGATGGCGCAATTTTTGATTGTTTGTTATTAAGCACAAAGCTACTCAATGAGTTACCTGTGCTCTTTTCACCAATGGTATCGAAACCGGTTTTTTAACGTTATAAGCCCTCAGACTTACCGCTGAGCCACCGAAGTGGGGAGAATGGTGCGTTAGCAAAGAGTTTAGCGGGACTTATCACTCAAATATATATATATATATTTATATAATTAAAAAGATTACATCATAAGGAAGAATAGCGTGCATTTAATGTAGTAAATCAAAGTATGATGAAAAACAATTAATTGTAAGAAAGAAACGAAACAACGCAGCTACAAATCAGACATGCACCACCTGATCACACACCATAAGGTAGGTACTTATGCAATGCACCCTGGTTTTTGAGGTTTGTTTGTTTGTTTGAATGTATGCATAAAGCTATACAATGGGCTATCTGTGCTCTGCCCACCACTGGTATCGAAACTCGGTTTCTAGCGTTGTAAGTCCCCAGCCATACCGCTGTGCCACTGGTGGAAGTAAGACCCAACGCAAATTATACTTCTCCCTAAATGAAAACTTAATTAATTAACATGCTCCTAACATAAACGAAAATTCTTGATATACTGTTTGAGTACTTTCTTATTTGAATAATATTCACAGTAATAAAATAGTTAGCGAGCGTATAACATTAAAGATGCTATGAGTATTAACCATATTATAATTTATGAAGAAAAGTACTTTTAAGAAAATGTTTTTTAATGAAATTTCCACTAAAATTATTTTTTTCATAAGATAACCTGTTTACTTTGGAGACGGTTTTACAATAACTACACAGATCTGATCTTTTTTCCCCCTCCTACTGCTACTGTTTCGTTAGCATACCTATGCTTCCACTTGTATTGTGATGCTCTATCGTATCATAAAAAGTGGTACAGGAAAAATAGTGTTAGTACGAATACTATTAATATTCCTGTTCCAGGTGGAGTATCAGTTTCCGTTATTCGGTAAGAACATATCAGAGACATGGTACTTTTTAGAAACATTTTTGTCATCATGTTTTAAGATGGGAAAATTATTGCTTAAATCTGGTTCTTTACATTTGGCTTCTTTTTCTCTGACGTCAACTAACCTGAATCTGGACGGCTCATTGGGGTTTGATATTTGTTTGAAAGTGTCATTAATAACTTGAATGATGGAACCTTGAGGGCTCTGATAGTCTTCCCAAAATCTTGAAGCGGACAATTTGTGTGTATTAGTGATGTCAAAGATCCGATAACCTGCTATAAGAAAGTAAAATACCATGCTGTGATAACCCTTTGTAACGAACTCTAAAACGAAATGTTAAAACAATTTCATACAACTATGGCGCTAAATGAAACATATAAACCAAACCTAGACGGTCTTACTGCACATAGTAAACATTCAAGCAAATTATAATATAAAACCTCCTTAATAATCTGAATTCCATAACACTGAGGGAACATTTTTCCATTCCAGTCAGGTTCAGAAATGTTAAGCGTGGTAAAATAATGGTTTGTCTACTGGGCTTTCTTTGATCTCTGTATATTTCTATTGATTACTGGGTTTTATAATCCAACATTTACGGCTAGTGATAACTTCGCTTTTTTTTTTTCATTTTAGTGTAATTAAGCTATGCCCCAACAAACCCTCAAATCGGTTCTTGAAAATATAAAACTTTAATCTCACACTGTTTTAATGTATAACCTTTTTTCTCTTCATAATTAGCGTAAAGAAGTCATTCTTCTGGTTGTTGTTGGGTGTTAAATAATATGGTTTTTTAATGTCCATAAAAATCTAAAACTACTTGCACATTAGTACTAAGAACATCTAAACACAGGTTGATATACATCTATATTACTGCTAACTGGGATATTAAGTTGAGAAAAAATGACAGAAATTGCTTCAAGTTAAACTAACAAACATTGGTCTCCTCTAACAACATTTAAATTGTGATATGTCTCCCTATTTCAAAAAATATTAACAACAACTCTCTGAGTCATCAAGACCACGCTTAGTTTTCCACCTCAGAGAGGACACATCTAGCATTTTCTTAAATCTCTTGCAAATTTCACAGAATATACACTGTTTTATGAAGAATACAGTGATGCTAATCAGCCCTAAAATTGAAAGAGATAAGACGATTTTTTTTGGTAGATGGAGAACGTCGTTTTTACTCAACTTTGCCTGAGGTTGTGGTGCTATAGTACTAGAATATCTATAGAAATTCTCACTAAACTAGTAGCCTTCGGAACTGTAAAGACAACCAGCGGATTTTATGTCAATATTACACATACCTCGGAGTACAGATGTCAGAAGTATCAGACTCAAAGCTTACTTCCAATTGTAAGGTAACAAAATTCTCAACGTGCTACCAGTGTAGCAGATTTGGAAGCGAACATGACAGGATACCAGTTGCAGCAAAACAAAGCCGTAAAAGAGGCAAAAGAATGGCTTACTTAGGCCTACATGGGTTATTGATTTAAAAAATATACTAAAAAAATCCTAGTGACATCCATGCTATAGCCTCAAAGCATAAGTTTTGAAACGTTCATAATTAATCACGAAAACTAGTAAAAGCTGTTATGCAAAAAGCTATAGAAAACTGAGTTTTTCAGACATTACTTTTTTCGTTCTCGCATGTAGAAAATAACAGACACTTACAACGTTTTGGAAGATTGTCTATTTTCTCGCTTTGCCCAGTTTGATCTTCCTCCCTGGATGAGAAACAAATGTCATAACCATAGTCTTAAGTAATATATCATATAATTGCATTTGATATCATTTTAATTCAGTATTGATGCCTTTTAGTTATTTTGGTGATCAATTTACAATATAATACTAATAGAACATGTAGCCTACTGATTAGTTGATAATAATTAGTAAGTAGAAATATGGTGGTAAATGTTAGCGACTGGTCACTGAACATGGTTAACATTACTTAGTAGCCCATATTGTGATCTTGCCTTTTTAGTTCTAGTTTTTATCACAAACTTCAATTTCTTTAACTAGCTAATATCAACACTCAGTTTGTGAGTCAATGACACAAAAACTGAAGGATTGGATGAGTTACAGAAAGTGTCACAGTTTCCGGTATTCAAGCTGGAGCAATAAAAAAGTTTTCTGTTAAATTGCTCGATCTTTTAAACTCAAAAAAACAAAAACAAACACTTGACTTTAAAAAAAAATCATCCCTTAATAGTGTTTGGCCACGAAGATACAGAGTTTAGGATGTTGGCTAGTTTAAACGCTCATGGTCAGAAAGGTACCGCACTTAACCACTTTACAGAGTGGTAAGATTTTTTCAACATTCCTCGGCCATCTTTATCGACAAAACTCACGAAAATTGCAGAGAAAAAGGCTTTTTATAGCTGGGGAACAAGATTTTGTATTGCGCAATATGAGGCCAGAGCCATTTTTTGTGTATAAATTTGGATGAGGTATCGATTTTACTCCTTCATAGCCTGGAAGCAAGAGCGAATTTGGCCACGCTGGTGAGTAACTCAGATTCCATATGTCACAAAGAATTTAAATCTCTATTCAGAATTTAAAAAAAATAGAGAAAGAGTATCGAAAAGCTTTGAGAATCAACCACTAAACTTGTCTCTCTGATTCGCATATTGGGTGTTAAATATGGCTAACACTATACTACCGCCTGAAGGTGTGTAATCCTGTTAGCAGGATTCAAACTCGGAACTTTAGAAACAAGAAGTAGAAGTGCTTTCCACTGAATTTGACTGTTTACCTCTAATGAAGACTTCGAATTCTGTACTTGTTTTTGTTTTTTCCTTCATTAGTAGGTTTCTGTTAACGTCAATACAGTAGTTGGTTGGCTTAAAGCCTCTTAGCTGGGTGAATGGGGAAAATCTTTGTTAATTTTCTTCATAATTCAGATCTTCATAATTAGTTAAAAAGTAATTGATTCCAATATATATATACATAACAGCACAGGATCTCCCGTTATTAATAGTACAATATATATTATTCACCCAGAAAAGCTGTATTTTGTATATAAACGATCATATTAGGCTACTAGCTAATGTTTAGCATGTAAATCAATATTATTGAAGGCATATTTACATTTGGATGCCCTCCCCTCCCCCCTCCTGGTGGCTCAACGGTAAGTTGGTGGGCTTATAATGCTAAAAATTAGGTTTCGATAACGTGGAAGTAAATTTGCGCTTAACAACAAACAGACAAAATCATTCGGATGTTAAATTCAATCTTCTATTGATGCAATTGTATTTTCACTATTAGAGTTGATATATTTGTTCTTTATATTTAGAGAAATTAAACTTAATAATCATTTAGAATAGCGTTGATAACTAAAACCAATAACCAATAGAAATGTTCTGCAGATTAAGCTAGCTTAATGCGAAGGATAATTAACCTTATTTTTAAGCCTTTTTTTCAGAAAAATTCGCTAATTTGTAAGCTAGTATTGCTTGTGCCTTTCCGATTTAATTAAAGTATGATTACGTGAAAGAGAACGTCGTACTGAGCCGAAGGATCAGGAAAGGATCGCTCATACTGGTTTCCGAAAGTCTGGAATTCTCGAACTGTACCCTGGGAGCTTTCAGTGTCTGAATCACAACCTGGAAGTCGAAAGGTGGCGTACGGCGTAAGCTCGTCCTCGTAAACTGCATAAGAAAAATTGTATTACATTCAATAAGAAACAAATTTTACATCAAAATGTATGAAATTCTCAAATATAAGAAAATCATTTTTTTTATTCAATTGTTTGTTTGTAAAAAGTAAATACCTTAAAAGACATCAAAATTATCTAATAAGAGAAACAAGAAGAAATTCTTTAAAAACAACAACAACAATTTCTAAAACACGAAAGTAAAATATAATCGTTGCCGTTGTAACTCATGCAGATACGACAATCGACGACACTCATTATATATTAATCTGAATGTATGAACTTTTCCAGAAACAAATATTATTACATGATTATTCACAACGTATATTGAACATATTTTAAACCTGGCGTAAATGATGAATTTCATTAAGACAGACGCCAGGATATCGAAACAATACTGTTGTTTGTTTGTTTCAGTTTGTAGTTGTAATAAAAAAAAAAGAGTGAGATTTTGTGAAATATTCTGCAAACTAGTTAATTATTAACCCATGAGTAGTTTCATGTTATCTAATGACTACTGATTGATTTTTCTTTGTTTTATTATCACTATGTCTTTTGTTTTGTCTTAAAATGTACAGCACATGTTAACATTGCGCATTGAACTCGACCACATTCTTCATTTCATTATTAAAACTATTCAAATTTTGAAAAAAATACTATGTTTTACAAGAAGTATTCAGGGGGGGGGAGCGATTTAACTGTATAGAATAAACAATAGACCTTAGTTGGAAACAAGACTGCATTAATTTTAAACAGTAATTGCTCAGTAAAGAAAAAACTAAATATGAACCAAAAATTGGATTTCAAAGTAAGCCAGTTGTTGAGTACGGAAAAAAACATAAATATGAACCAAAAATAGGATTCAAAGTAAGCCAGTTTTATGTAGAATTTCACTTAATGTTTTTAGTTTTTGTTTATATGAACAGATTTTTCGTTTCTTCGTTATGTTCCACACAAACAAAAGCTGTTATTATGGTGTTATAAACGGAAGCTGTTACTATGCTGTTTTAGTGTTAGCCTTTATTTCAAATCTTGTGAAGGTTATAATTTGAGAACATCGTAACAGAAATATATTTTCATAAAGTGTATTTCTTAGAATAAAAAAAATACAGTCCTATTTGTTTTTAGCTTTAAATTTGCCACTAGAAGGCGCTACAGTAACAACATACTTGGACGGCAAGCATCTGGGTATTAATGTTGAATTTTTTAATATAAATTTAAAGTAGAATAAGCTATAACTTAACGTTATTTAATAAAATACTGTAAACGAAAAAGTTGATTTTTGTTTAGGTAAATATCTTTTTTTTAATTTAACATGTCGTTAAGTAAACTCTACTTACATTGCCTTTGACAGTCATGTACCAGGTTTTCTGAGGCAGGTGCAGGTAGATGTGTTTGTATTTTAGGAATACTTTGGTAGATGGGAGTTTCTTGATGTTGAACCGTATCGGAGTATTTCTTGGGACCACTAGGTGGCACTAGTGCCAAGGTGTTTTCATTAGCTCTCCGTCTTTCGTACGTTTCATCTAACAGTAGAAATAGCTCCAAGTAAAATACATTTCTAAAGAGGACTTGAATTTAACGGTATAGACTTACAAGATATCTCTAACTCACTGAAGTTTAATTTAATTTATTTTAGTACAATAAGTTTAATTGAATAGTTCTTTAATAAAATGTCAATCTAGCCACCAACTGCCTGCATGTACTGCTTCCCTTATCGAGTTATTTTATTGAAATGAATGTTTAAAATAAGGGAATTTACATGAAAATTTGGAAAACTAAATACGAGTTACTTAGATGATGGATGTAGTTGCCAAATCGAAATTTATGTTTCAGTAATAATTTTATTTGCTAGAGTTTCAATTTGGTCAGCCTCATGGAACATGCTATAGACTTAACCCTAAAATAACCAATGAGACACTTCACATTTTTCTAAACGTTTTATGACTTTTGTTAGAGGCTGCACTAAACTGGGACTTAAGGAGGTTATAGCCACTTAAGTTTGCCTTAACTACTCCAACCAGTTACCAAACACACTGCTAGTCTACACATCTTGACAATATTCAATATTCTCCCTTCAATATTCTGTCTGGCCCACCTCAGTCCCTCCCCTAACTTGTAAAAGGCTGGCGCTGGACCTGTATTTGTTGTTTACAGGATCCCTAAAACATATGAAGTCTCAACAAATGAAACAAATATACCACCAATATTGCATTTAATTTTACTAATTAATGATCCCGTATGTGTTTTATTTAAAAAAAAAGAGAGATTTCACCAATATTTTTGGACATATTCTTTACACTGGGTGTTATAGAAAGCAAAAAAACCAAAATATTTAAATGCTGCAATATATGACCTCCAATGATCTCCCCTCAGTGGCTTAACGTAAGTCTCAAGGCTTATAATGCTAAAAACCAGTTTTTGATACCCGTGGTGCAAACAGCACAAATAACCCATTGTGTAGTTGTCTTTCAAAGACAAACAAATAAACCTACATCGACAGTGAACGGTATAAAAAAATCAATTCAGAGGTTCGAGGTTTAAATGCAAATGCTCATTCAAAACATTTACCTACTTTCGGCATCACAGGCTGGTTCCCAAAAACGTTTATTCAGAAATGGTTTAGAAACAGTCCAAATTACATGCAACATCTTAAAGAAGTTACTGTTCACGCTTAATTAACGAAGATTATTAGTCAATGACTCAAAGTCAAAGAAGCTTATCTGAGAATTAATGTTAAGTTCAAGGGTGGACAGAGATAAAAACTGTCCAACTACTCATTTTGAGAAAACGCCATTTTATATACTCCTATCTGTACTGTTATATATCTTGAATAGTAGTTTTGAAATGTTTGAATTTCGCTATTTTATCTTCCTGACTTGCTATTTTATTTATGTTCGTAACGCTCACTTTGTCAGTAATGCTCGACTTTCTGTTGGTAACGTCCAAATTGATTCAGTGGTTTGATTCATGGGAAAGCCTCGAGCATAAATCACAGTCGAGTTTGGTTTATTTATAACTTTTTAAGATTATTAACTGATCCTGTTTAGACTAGGTGTCATTTTTACACTACGCTGATCAGTTGTGGAGAGTGATAGCTATTAATTGTAATTTTAAGGATTTTTAGTTTGTATTGTTTAACGTGTATGCTCCTTCTCCCATTTCTGAACGGGTTTTTTTTAATAATTTATTTACATTTTTTCTAACTAAAACAAATCTAGTTGTAGATAAATCTCCGGTAAAATTCTACCGAAATGCTAGTCGTCAAGTTTTCAGTTCTCTGTTAAGTACCTTTTGTTTATCGGACGTGGTTCGTTATTCAATCTGGGATTGATATAATTCTTGTTACATCTAACGTGTTTCCTTTTTTGGCAGTTTCATTTGGTAAGTGAGGGTGTACAGGGTTATATACTATGCAGAGATTTGGAATGATAATTTTTGTCTGATTTTTAATGATTTTCAGTTTAGATCATTCTATTTGTATTATGTTTAGTAATACTTTTTTTTTTTGTTACTACAAATTTTCTGTGTATGGACTTTTAAGTAATTATCCTTAATTATAAGTTTTTTTTTCTATCCGGATATGTACAGTCATTTTCATGAGATGTCTTGGATAATTTATGTATTTTTGTTTATACCCCCCCCCCCCTCTATGAGGGTGGATTAATAAAAAAAAAGTATCACTCGACTATGAGCTGGGAGTCTTGTGTTCAATTCCCAGTAAAGTCGGGATTTTATATTATTTTTTATTATTCTGTTTATTTTTACATATTTATTATCATATTTACAATTATATCTTACAATATTCGGATAGTTATAGATGAAAACAATGATCATTATTACATAATATGCCATGCATAATATATCGGCGACTGTCAAAAACAACTTGCATACCTTTTCAACACAATATATGGTGCTACAATAAATTATTATTAATGCTTTTCACCTAAGGTAAGGGATCTTTTTAAAATTTACTCAAAAATTCGTAAGCATTCTTTAAGAAAAGTTATACCTTAATGCATGTAGTCCTTTACAATCAAATTGATTTCCTTTGCCATGACAATTAATGAATCACAGGTTGAGACATTTGGCCATGTAGGAATATTTCTTCAAGAACCACCTTTTTCACATGGTTCAATTGATAAGGCTTTATCATATATCTAAGTCAAAATTCTAATCAAGGAAAACTTGCAAAAAATTTGTTTTCGTCAAATACTAGAAAATGCATAAACATTCTTTATGCATCTATTGTTATTATAATATAATTAATTTTTAGAAAACATTTATTCGGAATTAATTTTCAGAAGAAAAGTTAATCAGCATCTACCTCGTATACAACACACACACACACATATAAATATATATATATATATATACAGTCCACTTACTGTTTACTGAAGCAGTCTAACGCTGCTGAAAATGTCATTTTAGTTTTCAAAATAACAAAACAGAATCCTAAAATTAGTAGTTTCTCAAATTAACAGGACATTTATTTCTCTAATATCGATTTTAAATTATTATTGATCTTACTGGTAAGCATAAGGTTTGTTTGTTTGTAGATATGCACAAAGCTACACAATGGGCTATCTGTGCTCTGCCCACCACGGGTATCGAAACTCGGTTTCAAGCGTTGTAAGTCCGCAGACATAACGCTGTGCCACTGGGGGCTAAGCATAAGGAAAGTGTTTTCGAGCAGTTTGTGGGTAGGTGAATATAAACCATATTGTAATTCTAAAACTTACCGCCTTGACGTTTCTTCAGGCATACGCACACAGCAACACCTATAACAACGGATAAAGCCACAACAGCTGCAACGATCGGAATGATAATGTTCAAATCTTCCCAAAGATTCGGTGGGGCTTGACTGCTTTCGTAGGATAATGGAGCAACTGTTGCTGTAATGCAACAAATAATTAGTATGTAAAGAGTAATTATTGCTATCGCACGGACTTCTTACTTTTCTAATTTGAAACTACCAGGAGAAAGCCGACAATTGTAAAACAAAAGAATATATTTTAATATTACTAACATTTCGGTCACGTCTGTACTTAAACTTTCATGAGGGCGAAACACTTCATAAATTTGAATGAATTAAGAGAAATGTGGAAAAATAAAACATCTGCACTTTACGTAATTTTATCACAACTCTTAGGTCTATGGATTTTTAATACCTCCTCAGCTTTCAATGTTTAAACGTTAACTTTACAAGTATTATACTGCATATATAAATAGCGTTTCAGAAAACGTTTGTCTCTCAACGTCTAGGCTAACTAACAAATTCTGATATTCCACGAAATGTCTCTTTGACAGTGACTAGTGGGAGTTAAAAGATAGATCCGAAATGCTATTTTATTACATATCTCTGGTTGAAATTCGAAATTGACGAATTCAGAGGAATGTGAAAGAAAAACATCTGCAGTTCACCTGATTTTTTTATCATAAATATTAAATGTATTGGTTTATAATTTTTACCAGCTTTCGGTGTTCAACGGTATATCAAAAACCTGTAATTCTTAACTAAGGTCTAATTAGTAATATGAAAGAAAATATGTAAAAAATATTGCTAATACTAAGAAAAAACTTATCAGGAAAACCTTGTGATATTAATGACAAATACAAAGGTACTATTTAACATTTTCATCGAACCCTAATAATCTTACTATAATGGACGTAGAGTGTATATATGTATCTATGTATGTGACCGAAATAATAAATACAATGTTGCGCCATCTATTGTATGGCACCACAAATAAAACTCCATGAAAAACATTTACAGTACGGGTATTCAAGATTCAGACAATTAGAAAAATAACTATGGT